CACTAATATTTCAATACATGTACACATTATTTCAATAATGTACTCTGTTGCATTTAGTATGTATACATATAAATTTGTTCACAAAGACAATTGAACTCGTTTCGAGAAAAAATAGAGACTTTTCGGTTACAGATTTAAGATCTCGTTTCGTCACCGCAAGAGATGGGAACGTTTCTAATTCCACCTTCTGAAGTCAAAGCCACCCCATCCCTGTGAAAAAGAGAAAGAAAAAAAGGAGGACACAAAGTGGTCAAACCCTTCACTCACGGTTTACGAAGCTGAGAGTCTTGTAAGAACCTCTCGCACCCCACGAGGAGGGTGCATAATGCGAGCGGCACGGGAGCAAATCTTTTAAACAAAGGCGAAAACACTTAAAAGCGGCGCACGCTTGCTCGAAAGGAGTGATAAAAACACCGCTAAGAGTTCAATAAGTATCCTGCTTAGAGCCAATAATGCCGCACCCCCTTTTCTCCACCCTCGAGCCCCTTAGTCCGCCACTTTGCACCGGCTGCTACGGTATTCCCGTTTCGAAGGAAATCGTTCGCTTCAGCCCGTTGTAATCTCGAAGCCGATAATCCAACCCCTACTCCTTTTTCCACCCCATATCGAAGGGGTGGACGGAACAACTACCCCCTCGCCACCCACCTTTTGAACGACGACGACGACGCCTTTTCACGGATAAGAACTTGCTTCGCGGACAATGTCTTTATCGAGAAGCCATCGTCGACGTGATGGGGATGATTTTTATTATTTCCCGATTAAGGGGTGGAAACCGTTAAGGGGAACACCGAAGATGGGCCACGGCCCGGACACGATAATGAGGAGTAAATAATGCGACAATGTTGACGAGGAAAGGAGTTGCTGTTCGATTATCTTCGTCGCGCAGACAAGGGTGGCTATTAATGGCGACGAATCAATCGATCAGAATTTAATCCTGTTTACGGACTATAAATTTTTATATTTTCTTCTAATGACATTAAATCGAGTAATTCTGCAATTTTTTACTATATATTTTTTACTTTACATTATTTTTTGCAATTTTTCGATACGGATAAAGAAAATTGGTTTATGATTTGGTTAAAGAAATATTTTTATCAATTTTTTTTTACCTTTTTCTGTTCCAAAATTGCGTTCGTTTTTTTATAGATTTTTCGTAGTATAATAATTTAAATTTAAGTCATATAAATTAATTTAATAAATATATTATTTGAAAAGAGCTGAAGGTGTCAAGTTTCATAAATCTCTTTCGCGAGATTAAAGAGAACTGAATAATCGACTGTAAATATATAACAGGAAATAATTAATTACACATTACAAGGTGACACAAGAAACTTTTGATATTATTCACCAGGTTTCTTTAACTCAGATTGAATTCATTCTCTTATAAATCTTTCCGTTACACTTTCAAGTTGGTCTGAAAATTAATTGTCAACGGCAAGAAAGTTTTCAAGAATAACAGAATTGTTCATCGTTCTGTTACCCACGACAGCGTCATTTAAAAATCAGATTCATGGAAAAAACAGTTAAATGCTTTCTACCGCGTCGACTGACGTATTTGAGTTATAAATAACGCGAAGTCATCATTTTGTATCGAGGACATTCGTGTCTGCGAAGATTATCCGATTGTTTGAAGTGGCAGACAGGAAGGAAGACTTCTTTTGATCCCGTTCAAACCTTTCGTTTATTAAAACAAATTAAAATAAGAAATAAAGGGTTTGTTTGACAAGCACCATTGCTTAAAGCCTTTTCTTAATTATACCCTTTGTACTGAAAATATTTTTCAATTAAACGACGCTTCGAGCTTTTTTCATTCGTACAAAGAGGTTATAACAAAAATGGAAAGCTTTTCATTTCTACAGACATGTTCATTAAGAAGTGATAGTTTCACAAAATAAATTATATAAACAATTTTACAATTTTTACATAATTTTATATGTACATTATAATAAATTACAGTATAGAAATTGACATGTTTTTTTAAATAAATTTGCTTGTAAATATGAATTTACGAATCGACGATTTAACGTTTCGAAGTAGAGGAATTGACGACATAGCAGTGTAATTAAGATAAAAGGGCAAAGATTGCTAAATCAGCGATCACGTGTTAGATAAGGATCTGGTTTTACATGCACTCACGGATCTGTATCAACCTTTCGCTTACGCATCGTTTCGTAGGAATCAAGTAGCACTCGTGTAAATAAATATTTTATTGAAGTTCATTGCGAAATGTGTCACACGCATTGATAAAACATTTATAACTAAAAGAAGATAGGTTTGTTACTTTTAAAATATACTTGAAATACAATTATCAATGTTGCATATTTTAACGAATTAGCTCAGAATTATCCCTGTTTAAAATTTAAACAGTAAAGGGTACATCCCTGATCCTTTCAGTAAGCTGTACATAACGTCCTATATCGTATAAAGATTTAATATAGAGTAGATTTGAATCTAAAAATGAAGTATGTAGAAATAACACGTCTTCAAAAGTCCACCTTGAAACGCGTTAAAATAGCGATCATCAATTTGTCAGGAGCTCTTAGGTGATTTCAATCAATGAAAAAACGAAAGCAAAGACCGATTCGATTCATCACGGTCCCGTTTCAACGCTGTCAAATCGTCTCCGTTGAAAAATCCCGGCGAGATCCTCCTCGTTTGGCACGGCATGAATATTCATCGATACACCGTCTCCTATTTATGATCTTCTTTCATTACCAATTCCGTCGGTTCGCCGACTGCCATTAGTCACACTTTGCCTACCGAAAGCGTGATTCGAGCCGTTTATCGCGAATCGGGAAGGTGAAGTGCACTCGGACGGGGTGTAGGGGGTGAATTTCACCGGCTGGTGCGCGCGTGCTTCCTGCGTGCGATCCAGAGAGAAAATAGGGATGGGGATAGAGGAAGAGAGGATGAGACAAGCAGCGAACAGGGGCTGAGGGAGGGTAAACCACGTGCCTTCTCTATCGAGTACGTCAGTCATTCAGTTCGACGCGCACGCAGCGGATACCTCCACGTGCAACAGTTAAACGGAATTACAGGATCATGGGGTGTGAGAATCGATGTGTTACCCTACTTCATCCCACTTTCGATATTTTTACACGTCGACGACCACGATGATAAGTTCATTTTCACGAATGTGAAATATTGTTGGATGACCAAGCGTGTCGAAGCACAATATTCTAGCAATACCTACATATTACACGTTACTTAGTCATAAGATACCTTACTAGAATATATAACATTAATAACTCAAAAAGGAAGCTTCAAATTTTTAGAATTACGTCAGCTAGTTATGAAGTTTCACATCAGCAGTTTCATTAGTTATGAAACACCCTGTATTTTCAATAGCTACAAATTCTACATATCACACACGTTATGTAGTCATAAGGACTAAGAACCCTTACTAGAATATATGATAATATTAATAACTCAAAAATGAAGCCTTTTAGAATCATGTTAGCTACAACTTGCAAGAGTGACTAGTTATGAAACATCCTGTATTTTCAATAGCTACAAATTCTACATATCACACACGTTATGTAGTCATAAGGACTAAGAACCCTTACTAGAATGCGTGATAATATTAATAACTCAAAAATGAAGCCTTTTAGAATCATGTCAGCAAGAGTGACTAGTTATGAAACATCCTGTATTTTCAATAGTTATAAATTCTACATATCCCACATGTTATATAGTCACAAGTACTAAGAACCCTTACTAGAATATATGATAATATTAATAACTCAAAAACGAAGCCTTTCAGAATCACGTCAGTTACAACTTGCAAGAGTGACTAGTTATGAAACACCCTGTATTTTCAATAGCTACAAATTCTACATATCACACACGTTACACAGTCATAAGGACTAAGATCCCCTATTAGAGTATATGATAATATTAATAATTCAAAAACGGAGCCTTTCAGAATCACGTCAGCTAGAACTTGCAAGAGCAACTAGTTACGAAACACCCTGTATTTTCAATAGCTATAAACTCTACATATCACACACGTTACGTGGTCATAAGGACTAAGAACCCTTACTAAAATATATGATAGTATTAATAACTCAAAAATAAAGTCTTTCAGAATCACGTCAGCTATAACTTCCAAGAGTAACTACTTATGAAACACCCTGTAAACAATACTTCCTCAGAGCAAGCTTCAGTTCAACGTTAATAAAATTATTCGACAATTTAAAATGCGACTCAAGCGCCCTCTTATAAGAGAACCAATCCTCCCGTTTATTTTTCCAATAAATAATTAATTTCAACGAATTTGCAATGTTCCTATGGCACTCAACATGTTAACAAATCAAGCTTCGAATGTCACGTCTGCTAAATTGGCAGACAGTATTCTATGCGTTCATGCCAACTTACTATACACTATTTGCGTATAGCAGCTTATGTACATAGTGATGAATTGTCGAATCTCGGCTTGGCAATGATAAAGTTGGTTTTTCAATTGAAAATCAATATCGTTCAACATCTGCACATTTAGTGACGTTCCAATATCTCCTTATAGTGATTTTGCAAAAAGTGTGGCTATTACTTTTTTGATGAACGTTCATTTGTTACGGTTATGAAAGTTGCTGGTTCAGAAATAAATCTGAGAGTACATAAAAGTCTTTACTCGGGAGAAATATTGAATTTGAACTATTTTATTTTTTAGCGATTGAAACAATTTTTCTGCAAGGGGATATTGCGAGAACATATTAGACATAGGCATTTGAGTCTGAAGGTTGAAAACTGATTAATATTTTGGGTTAAGAACCGCCATTTTGATCAAACAAATCCTTAGTATTTTAATAACGCGAATATTTCATTGTTTTAATATAAATTTTCATGAGAATATTAATTAATATACAATTTAATAATAATTATCTCAGCAAGGGATATTGAATTTCGATTAAACTATGTATTGTTGAGAATAATCAGCATTGGCATTCACCCTTCTCGGATCGCAGTCAATTTCGAGAAATTCTCTAAAATGTGAGACTCACCTCTTTGTCCTTCGCTTGCAATTCCTGCTCCAGGTTGCTGTTCGGCGTTCTCCTGGGATTGCTGGCATCGTGTACCTGCTGTTGATCACTTCCCTGTGGTGTCTGAGACAATTTATGTCCCTCAGTCTTCGAATTCCCGTCGTTTGCAGCGGCTAGTTGCTCCTTCAACGCGGACACTTCCTTTTCCGCTAGTGTCGCCCTCTGCAAACAAATATACGCCATGTCTTAAAAGCTGATCAACTTAATTTTAAACTTACGATTAGAACTCCGTTATTATTTACTGGATAATTATAATTACATTCGTTATAATTTACTTACAATTCGTAACTCTTACAAGAATTATAATTATAAGGGAAACATAATTTTTCTATAAAATCTGTCAAGATTTCAAGCTTTTTTGATTTAAGGTTTCTTTGATTTAAGGTTTAAGTTTGTTTGTATAGAAGGATTTTTATAGTTTGCAAATTTGATGATTACAAAGATTTATACGTATCAAAAATTCTATTCCAATTTTTCGATAACTCAAAAAATATTCCATACATAATTTTAAATTTAAACTGACGAATTATTCAGTCGTCAAAGAATTTATGATTGTTTCTAATTTGTTTTAGAGTTATTACGAGTCATTTTCATCAGACGTCAAGCTTTAAATCGATATGCTAGTATTTGTATGTCAAACAGCGTCAAACTTTGTGCTCGTAAAGGTGTCATTTGAGACGCAACAATTTTACTATAACTAGATAGTAACTTTCATACAAAGAAAAGGCTGTATTAAGTACATTAACTGGAGCAGTAAGAACTATAATAAACTATGATAAGCACAATGTGAAGACTGTAATGTTATGTGATATTCGAAGAGTTAAGCTTCATTGATATGTGAGTGCCATTTTGTCATAGTAATTCAAATTTTACCATTTCATAATTTAACCCATTGTACTATTTTGACGAGTCTGACTATGACGCACTCGTACCTCGGCCGTGATCAGTTTCACTCAAATTTTTAATACGCTTCAATTTGGAGTTCAAGTCCAATTATAATTTGCATAGTCAACAATTGAATAATAACATATTAAAATAACATTTCAATTTTTTTGTCTATTTTAATATTATAGCTTAATTGCGCAGTTCTGTCTGACGCACTTGACAAATAAGTCATAGCGCAAGGAGTTAATTAGTGGGTCTAAATTAATTAATAAACTTATAGATAAAAATAGAACATTAACTGTAATATTAAAAGAACATTAATATAATTATTGATGTTATTATTAACATAATTATTAATGTTCTTTCGTAGAAGTCTTTTCAGAATAAAGCTGCCATTTTCTTTCCGCTTAAAATCAATACACAAGTATTTCGCCACATTTCAAATTTAATGACATTTCAATATTTTCCCAGTAGTAAAAAGAAGCAGAATATTTCTACGAGAAGAAACGAAGGAAACGTCGGTATACGATAAAATCATTGCTCCGCTATAATGACAAACACATGCGACCCCATCCCACCCCTCGAAATGGTTCGCCTATTCGAACCAATCTGTACGGCACGGCATATGTTTAAGCCATCAATCGGCATCTGGAAGCAATTAAAGTAATTGCGAATTCGATGGCAAAGGTATTGGAACGCCGCGTGTACTGTCGGCAACAAGTCCACGTCAGTTTTTTGCTCGATGCATCGAAGCTGATCGATCGTTCCGCGAAACGGTAACGCCAACTTCTGTATTGAAATTGCACAGTAACACGGAATCGTACGTGGTTATTCTATAGCGTGCCAATTTATAAGCGTTATGTTTTGTATGCTATTTTCATCGTGTTCGTTTTTCTCTTATATCTACGGGGAAACCGATATTTTATTCGGGAACTTTGTTAATTCAAAGATACGAATTGTTTATTTATTTCTGTGTAAAGAAGAGACTTTTCAGAGAGTAACGGGAGTTCTATTATACAAGTTTAATAATCTTTCATCATAAAACAATATAACACTATCTAAATTGTCTCATACAAGAACAAGGTTTATTCATAAAAATTATCTTAACATGCTACAATTTTTTCAAAAATATTAAACAACGTTAAAGATTTAACTTGATCGAGTGCATCTAAATTACTCGAGTTCAAATATACCAAGTTTACGCCGTTCTATTTCCTCCACTTTTCATCTATTACTTTCTAATATATCGATCGACTATAGTCACCTTCAGAATCTACGAACCTAACCGTAAGCTAACCGTATCTATGAACGTCAAACAGTGCCAAGCGTTCCGAAAAAGAGCGTCGAGCAATCAAAATGGACATTCATGTATCACGCGGTGCTCGAGGTAGCAAAAGAGCCCACTAGGGTAAAACAGAAGTGACGGCGCAAAAGAAGAAGACGAAGACAGACAACGAGAGAGCTAGTAATGACCCATTGTTTCCTGCAAAAAGCCTTGACGATGTTATCGATAATTACGAAATGATACGGGAAGCATAAATACATATCCGAGAGCACGATGTACGTTCATTGGAATGGCGGACGAGTATCGATAGGCTGTCGAGTCTCATCCTGTGTATTTGTCACGTTGTACTGGATGATTGCGAGGGTGGGGAGGACTCGCGCAGAACCGAGGCTGATGGAGAGGATTGAGAAGATCGCCGATAAAGATCGTCCGCCCGCGATCGTCACATTAGCGGCGGAAGTCGTTGAAAGATAATGGCTTCTTTGAACGTTCCTAACGATGCTGCTTTTGTCGTTGTTCTATCAACAATCGGCTGTTAAGAATTTAAGTTACCGGATTACGGAAAACTCGAACGAATCTTCCACTCTTTCGATTACCTCCATCTTTCATCACTTCAAACCTTCATTCCAGTTCTAACCAATTCCCAGACTAATCACTGTGATTCTCTTTCGAAATTATAACAATCGCAATATTATTCTTTTAGGTTATATTCATCCTTCGAAATTAATGTGTATCATGTAGGCAGCTTATACGTCATCTTACCAGTATGTCTTAAAAAGTCTCCATCTTAAAAAGTATGTCAAAATCATGTATGTCACTTACACAAAAATTTAGTCTACACAAGATGGGTTAATATAAAAGGTTATAATATATAAGATCAAATATACATGGTATACTAAATATTATACAAGGTATACTAAATATTTTACAAGACCCTTTCAGCAATAATCCACATTCCCCATATTTGGAATCCAGGTGAAAACATTTGTCTCCTCACTATAATTTGAAGTCGAGTTATTCGAGTCACTTTACGCAAAAATACCCAGACAAAATGAAAGTCTTCGATCGTCAGACAGCACCGATTACATGGCCGCCTTTCGACCCTGACAAAAGGAGGGAGGCGTTCGATCACGGCCTAGGCGTTTCGTCTTGGGTCCGCTCGTCTTACACCCCTTTCGTAAATTGACGGTTATCCAAGCTGCACACAGTGTTCTGAGCATCGATCGATCGCCACTCACCGATTCGATATACAGGAATCGCGGCTCATTGCACGGTTCCGACGTGTGCAAGAACCTGCTTCGAGGGGGCTGCTTTTAGGCCGGGTGGTCACGCACTTTCGGATCAACCGGATCGATCGGGTCTCTTGATGCTTGTTTCCACATTTTCCCTTGTCGTGTAATTAAGCTCTAATTCGCAGTTTCGGGTATCTGAGGCTTCTTGCCCTAACTTTGGTTTGTGATGAAGATTGAGGATTTTTTAGCGAAAGCTACTTTATGGATATTTTAGCTTGCTACTATAGCTACTTTATATTGCTTGTTACTTTATAGCTACTAAATGGATCTGCAGAGACATTACAATCTACAGAGACATTTTTATGTACTAGGTTACAGCGACAATACTTGCAACACCTTAGACATCATAGATTTTTGTTTGCTCCAAATGTCATCCACACGAATAGAATGTTTGATACATATCATGTACTTGTTATAATACTTTCTCTCAGGTCTTAAGAGATATCTAAATGTAGTAGTCATTGAAACAGTCAAAACTTGATAGTATATAACTACTGTTTGATAGTATATAAACGGTGAACATTATGTTAATACTAATCAATTGATAAAGCATCGGACTATGCACCCTACCTTAGGCTCTAAGTATATTTGCACTTAGCTGGACCTAATCAAATGTCCGATGTGGACCTAAGCAAGAGGTGCATAAAGATCTCAAAGGACTCGAATGATTGATCAAAGGATCAACTCGATCAAAACAAGCTTAACAAAATTGATTTAGCATTTTTTAGAGTCAACGAAATTTTGCTGGAGCTCTATTCAATTTTACTAATGAAGAGATATGAAATCAAAGAGTGATTAGAATTCTGAAACGAAACGATCCATCAACGATGACCACGCGTCTAGGTTGATGGCACTCGAGCGCACGGCATGCGAGTGTCGCAGCTGGCGACGCACGGTGTCGAGGCCGTCAAACGCCGAGCATTCTTTGTGTTCCGGCGGCAGAATATCCCGAATAGATCAGCCTCCCTCGCGGCTCGTACATCCACCCCTTACGCCGCGCGTGTTTCTATTTTTACCCTTAGCCCCGAATCATCAACGTGTCCCGTTCTTTTCTACTATTTATTTCGTGACGGTTGACTAATGCTCGAGAGGCATCGGGAATTCCGGCGGGATCGATGTGTATTTCGATGCGACCTGCACCCGCTTCTGGTTCCATAGAAAAATTCAGAAGACTTGCCTATATACTGGGTGTCGGTATTAGACAATCTGGATACATTGCTGTTACAAACTGATGTCTTCATTTCTAGACATTTATGGGTGATAAATTATATGGATGAAAAATTATAAACAATGTGATATGAAGATTTCTTGAAGAAAATGTTTTACTTATGTGAGTTACCGATGTTGTTCAAAATTATAGCAAAATTATGTAATAAATTAAATTATAACTTTTTTCTAATAATGTATTTTATCTTATACACCATTTTGTTTCCACAAATTAAACTTCAGTTTAATAATGTTTAGAATAATAATATGAAGTTAGTTTAAGTCAGTATAATAATTTTATGTTTTGAATGTATGATATTAAAGTGCAATGAATGTTATAAATTTTCTGACAGTGAAGTATAAATTTAAAAAAATGATAACTTCAATAATTTGTCAATTTTAAAATTTTAACCTAAGACAACGTCCAAGAATGTACAGAGTTAAGATAAATAAATAAATTTCAAAGGTATTTTCATCTGAAGTTTTACTGCGAA